AATTAAATAATTGACTAATTATGCTAATCTTTAGTAATTATTGATTAATTAATGTTAATTATGTACTCCAATTTTTTTCTCATAAATACCTTATGCGACATAATCTCTTCTTAAATGCAATCAAAAGCACACCTATTGAGCAAAAGAATAAATTTCATTATTGAGTTTTATTGTTACAAAGAAATCGACTTATGCAGTAAACAGCCGTTTTAGTGTCTGAAAAACATAATGCTCTGTTTGTTTAAAACTGTTTTCCCTTGCAAACTATCTATCGCCCATATTCTAAAAGCTCACTCACACTCAATGAGTGGAGATTCAACCTGAGCTTCTTTTGAGTGTCAATGCTGCTTTTGAAAGCTGGAGGGTCAGTCTCGTACCTTACTATCTGACTGCTCACCCTCCAGCTATTCAAAAACAGCACTGACACTCAAGAGAAGCTCTGATTACACCTCCACTCATTGAGTGCGAGTCGGCTTTTAGAATACAAGCATATGTTTTCCCAGAAGTCAAGTACGGGTCATCTTTTGTTGATCAAGTGTTACTACAGGAGGAAACCTAAACTAAACTAACTTTATTTATACTGAAAGCTCCATCAGTTCTACACTGTTCTCCCTAGAGGTCCAGTAAGGATCATCTCTTATTGATCCAGTGCTACTGCAGGAGGAAACCTAAACTAAACTAACTTTATTTATACTGGATAGCTCTATCAGTTTTAAACTGTTTTTCCTAGAGGTCCAGTAAGGATAATTTCTTATTGGTCTAGTGTTACTACAGGAGGAAACCTAAACTAAACTAACTTTATTTATACTGGCCGGGGTAGCTCTATCAGTTCTAAGCTGTTCTCTCTAGAGGTCCGGTAAGGATCATCTCTTATTGATCCAGTGTTACCACAGGAGGAAACCTAAACTAAACTAACTTCATTTATACTAGATAGCTAACAGGGCCATTCTTCATATTTCTGTCTCTAGATGCGGTAGTCGCGGAAACTGTCTCGAATACGACAACGAAAAATTAATCTACTACACAGCCGCCGTAGCAACAGTCTCGAAATTCTTCACGATGCTATTTTTCATCCTGGCATGGAAATTTTTAAAACCTCCCGCGCCCAGAATGGAAGTCAACGGGAATGGGGGAATAAACCATAGAGCCGACGCGAATGACTCGGCAGACACGACTTTAATACGCAGTGCTAATGTATGAAAGATTATATATACAGAGAGAGAGAGAGAGAGGGGTATTATATGGTGGCTTGCGAGTGTCAACACGCGCGTTTTATGAGCGTGAACACGCGTTTTGTGAGCGTGAACACGCGTTTTGTGAGCGTGAACACGCGTTTTTTGAGCGTGAACACGCGTTTTATGAGCGTGAACACGCGTTTTATGAGCGTGAACACGCGTTTTGTGAGCGTGAACACAGTCAGGGCTCGAAGTAGACAAAAAATGGCCTGCCAGTCTAAAATTTTTTCGCAGGTGAAATAAATCTTAGCCTGCCATTTTTATTCATTGAACTGCCAAAATGGCGATTAAATAAAATGGGTCCTAAATCACTCACCAATCTTTTTTCATACAAATGTGAGAAAACAAACTACAACCTTCGTGACATTTCAAGTGGTCTTAGTTTACCAAAACCGCGTACTAACAACATGAAAAATAGTTTCATGTATGACGGAGCACACCTTTGGAATTGTATTCCAAAGGAAATTAGGGAAAGCAAAACTCTTTCATCCTTTAGAAATAAAATTGCTGCTCACAAAATTGACATAGAGTAAATTGATGTAACTGTAAATATTCTAATAACCTTCTTATCATGTAAATAATTTAATATTCTACCTTTTTAAACTTAAGTATTTTAATATCTCCATGTAACATTTTTCTATTTTTGCACACGCCCCCCGTGGAAATCAGCTTCGGTTGACGGGGTCAGCGTGTATAAATAAAGTTTCTATCTATCTATCTATGATTCATAGGAGTCATATTTGTAAAAATCAACGTTTTCGTGACATGCATTTTTATTATTTTTAAACTTGTCTATTTTACTACAGTAAACTTGGATTTACATTTCAAATATAAACGTATTTGGTCACCTAAATGATCTGGTATACAGCTATTTCAATTAAGGTTGTCCCCCAAGCAAAGCGGAAAAGTCGAATACAAGCGCGAAAGGCTGCTGGGAATCACTAATAAATGAATGAAATTAATAGCGATTCCCAGCAGCCTTTCGCGCTCGTATTCGACTTTTCCGCTTTGCTCGGCGGTCAACCTTAATTGAAATAGCTGTATACGAGTTGTGGTAAGCAAATGAAATGAAATATGTCTGTAGAATTTCACCTGCCATTCTTTTTACTTTGGCAGATCAAATTTGTTTTTGCCTACCATTTCTAAGATATGGCCCGCTTTTGACCATTGGCAGCCCGCTATTTCGAGCCCTGCGTGAACGCGCGTCAAATATCTATAATGAAGACTGTTTTAAAGAGTGGATAGGAAATAGTGCCAATCGCGACGAAACTTCAGATTGATAGGGATCCAGCTACGATCTGCAACAACTTGCGCGCTTTTACCGGTGTGGGTACGAGTTTCCGCCTATCCATATTTTTATCATCCATGCTTGTAACAAGATTAAAACGACTTTTCAATGTGTTCATTACAGAATTCCAACATATGTATTTTGCAACAAGTTTACAACAATATACCATACGCGACAAGGAATTTATTATGATATCAAATTACCACAATAAATGCCTTTTGACGGTGTGATATAAACTCTCAAACAGATTAGTATTTAAAGTAGAATTCAATGTGAAAGATGAACGAGAATAGCTCGAAAGACAGTTAATAGATTTTGTATCACCATAGCAATTTCATGAAAATTAGGAAAGAATTTCCATAAAAAAACAAACAATCATATACATTATATTTTATTTACATATCTGTAAAGTAACATAATATTAATTAACAATTGAAGAACAAATATAAATAATCAAATTTTGTAAATTTGCTTTTTTTATACACATAAACATATAAAGCTTTCTACTGTAATATCTTTAACTAACTTTATTTATACTGGATAGCTCTATCATGCAGTTCCTAAACTGTTCTCCATTGAGGTCTAGTAAGGATCATCTCTTGTTGATCCAGTGTTACTACAGGAGGAAACCTAAACTAAACTAACTTTATTTATACTGGATAGCTCTATCAATTCTAAGCTGCTCTTCCTAGAGGTCCAGTAAGAGTCATCTGTTATTGATCCAGTACTACAGGAGGAAACCTAAACTAAACTAACTTTATTTATACTGGATAGCTCTATCAGTTCTATAAACTGTTCTTCCCAGAGGTCCAACAATTCTCTTATTGATCCAGTGTTACTACAGGAGGAAACCTAAACTAAACTAACTTTATTTATACTGAATAGCTCTATCAGTTTTAAGCTGTTGTTCCTATCTAGAGGTCCAACAAGGAATCTCTTATTGATCCAGTGTTACTACAGAGTCTACAGGAGGAAACCTAAACTAAACTAACTTTAATTTATTTATACTGGATAGCTCTATCAGTTCTAAACTGTTCTTCCTAGAGGTCCAGTAAGAATCATCTCTTAGTAATCCAGTGTTACTACAGAAGGAAACCTAAACAAAACTAACTTTATTTACATTGGATAGCTCTGTCAGTTCTGAACTGTTCGTCTATGGTTAAATATCCTTGGACCGGATTCTCACCAGATTTTCAAAGTTCTGGCCAGAACTTACAACATCAAACGATAAAAGTCATATAACAGCAATTTAGAAGTGATATTTTACAAAATATCTTACTGATAGCCGACAAATGGCTTGAATTTTAGCTGCAAATTGACACAGCAATTGACACCCAAAGACCACATGGATAAATTTTGACTTTTTGCACGCGCTTAAAGACCATCAAATTTACGCTGTATTTTGTCCTAAATTGTACACCAAATACACAAGGCTCGAAGTATGATTACCATTCTCAATAACAGCACAAAAACTCACCTTGTTTGCAGATTTTGGACCAAATTTACGAACATTTTTGATTTTTCAGACAAAATTTAAATCCCAAACGCCAAAATGTAACAAGATTTGAAAACAAACGCGGAAAGACTGGGGAGGCTTAATTTGATTTTCCCGCCATTAACTGATCTCAATAACGACAGTGTAAAACTGGACCGTGGTCAACGTTGCAGTTTGAATACCAGTTAGCCTGCGAACAGGCCCTGGGTTGCGGGCGGCCTGTTCGCAGGCTAAATACCAGTGGGAAAATAATGTTGATTCTTTTTTAAAATATTATCGGTAGTAGTCTTGTATTTGGACACAAATGAATACATTGGAGAGATTTAGTTTAATTTCCTTGCCCCTGTATTAAATGACTGCAAAGGGTTGAATGGTTTTGTCCAAAATTTGACTATTATCTGCAGACTGCAACCCTGTAACGCTAACAGAAGCCTATCAATCGGTGTAGAAACCGAGGCAGAAAATATTCAGCCAAAACTCGCTCAGAATTCAGATTGTTTTGCCTGTATGGGGCTGTATGAAAGTGGCTTGCCATGACAGCATTCGGTCCAGTAATACATAATGATATAGAGATCAGAGAGTAAGTAGAATGTACATTCATTTCCGGTGCAATGTAGCAGTTTTCCAAAACTAAACATGGCGATTTTGTTGACAAGATACAAACACACTTTTATTGTGTTTACTTCTATATAAACGCACTTGAAACCATTTTGGTTGCAGGAAATTGTTGATATGGATGCCAGCAACGTGTCTGCTTCGCAAGGAAGCGAAACGCGGTCCGATTCTGCGGGAAAACAGACTTCGAATGTCGGTACTCATTCATTTGGCGAATGTGCCGAAGCTGGCGATTCTACGTCAAATTTGGTAGATGATGGCAGTAAAATTAATGAATCCGAGGCAAACACAGGCAGCAGCGAAGCTACCGGGATAGATACTACACAGGGTTCCATTTCGGAAGCTGTGTCAAGCGATTTAGCCGATGAAAATACAAAAACAGAAGGACAATTTGACGAGACACCTGTTCCCTGCGAGAATTCCGTACATTCCGTAGACACGCTTCAAGAACAATCTTCAGACGAAACTATAAACAAAACTCCGCCCAAGCCTAATTCTGCAGAGATCTTGGGCTCGCCTCAAGATATAATCAATTCTGAAGCATCCAAAATTGATGACACGATCAATAATCATGACATTGACGAACCATCCAATACTGATACTGTCAATAATCAGAATGATTCTCAAGCGTCAAATAGTGATGACACGATCACCAATCAATACAACGAGATGGAATATGCAGATAGCAATAATAGTCCATATTACATAAAATGGATTACGTGGAAAGGCTTGAAGACGGCTATCGTTACACAAAACGATAACGGCCCATGTCCGTTATTGGCGGTCATTAATATATTGTTGCTACGTAGAATGATCACATTTCCCAGCATGCAAGAAATGGTCACAACACGCCAACTCATGGAGTATTTGGGCGACATCATATTGAAAACAATTCCAGAGGTGTGCAGAATGTGCAACCTCGTTCCCAGGGTATTTGCTCTTGGGCAAATACCCTGGGAACGAGGTTGCAGAATGTGTCTTACCGAGCTATCCAGTATAAATAAAGTTAGTTTAGTTTAGGTTTCTTCCTGTAGTAACACTGGATCAATAAGAGATGATTCTTACTGGACCTCTAGGAAAAACAGTTTAGAACTGATAGAGCTATCCAGTATAAATAAAGTTAGTTTAGTTTAGGTTTCCTCCTGTAGTAACACTGGATCAATAAGCGATGATCTTTACTGGACCTCTAGGAAGAACAGTTTAGAATTGATAGAGCTATCCATTTTAAATAAAGTTAGTTTAGGTTTCCTCCTGTAGTAACACTGGATCAATAAGAGATGATCCTTAGGAAGAACAGTTTAGAACTGATAGAGCTATCCAATATAAATAAAGTTAGTTTAGTTAATTGCTTTCTTTCATATTACAGAATATGGCTGAAGGAGTGCTCAGAAACTTCGAACAAAACATGCAAGATGCAATAAATATCTTACCAAAACTCACGACTGGTTTAGACGTCAATGTTAAATTTACAGGGTACCAACTTTTATGATGTTATGAAATGAATGTGAATCTTAATCTAGCTTGCCTTAGCTGTGTAGCATGTAATCAACATGAAACAATTATTCATTATTAAATTATTTTACGTTCCCTAGTGTTGGTGACTTTGAATTCACACCCGAATGCATCATATTTGATTTGCTAAGTATTAAATTGTACCATGGTTGGCTTGTGGATCCTCAAAGTGCTGAATACAAAACTGCGATAGGGAGCCTAAGTTATAATCAATTGGTAGAAAAGATTGTCGCAAGTAAAGAGACTGACAGTGATAGCCAGTTATCGTCCGAAGGTGGGTTAAATATCTGCTTAACAAAAATTAGTGACAGTCGTGTTTTAGCTTGCTACTCTGGTTTTAATAAATGAATACAAAGCCTGGTCGAATTGCTTCACGACCCAATGTTTCAACACTCCAGACTAGTGTCTTCATCAGAGGTGATCTAAAGTCGCAACGTGGCTTCTTATCATCTTATGTATACCCATGGGATGACGTTATCTGCCAACAAGATGGATAAACCATGGGTATATAAGAAGCCATGTTGCAACTTCAGATGACTGATATTATACCTGGTTGCCGTAAACTCACAACTTTTAAAGTTAGTAAGTGAACCGAGCTTGTAGCAGCCTTTAAATTTGAATCTTTGAAAGTCTTAAATTTGAATCTTGGTCCTTGAACATTCTTTGAAATGTATCATTTGTATGAAAGTCTTTAAAAATCTGGCTAAACAAAGAGATTTTCCACAAATATTCAGCTTATACGGTAAGCTTTTCCCCTCAATGTTTTTATTTCAAAATTTTACAGGGCTTTTTGCAGAGTCGTTTCTTGAGGAAACAGCGAATCAGCTGACGTGCCATGGCGTTTGTGAACTAAACGCTACTCTCAATGAGGACGAATTATGTGTCTTCTTCAGGAATAATCATTTTAGCACTCTGTACAAACATCAGGTAAACTGCATAGTTTGAGAATTTTAAAAATTATTTTATATCGATTACATGCATTTAATGTATTTAGTATAAAAATAAAAATTATTTTAACTGATCTACATTATTAAATTGTCAATAATTTGCGTTCCAGCATTCCATGTTGAATTTAAAAGGCAGTGTTGCAAATCACATAACAAACTTGTCCTCAATTGTGTTGCCACCAACGCCCTAAAATGTTTAGAACGCGTTCGGATTTGGATTCAGAACGCGCTATAGATTAAGTGCAGAACCCGGTCAATGTTGCATTCAGAACGCGTTTTAAATTGCGTTCAGACCGCGTTCCAAATTACGTTCTGAACGCGGTCCAATTTACGTTAGAACGAGGTCAAAATTGCGTTCAGAATGACGTCCAAATTGCGTTCAGACCGTGGTCCAAGATAACACTAAACGACTTTATATATTTCTACAGGGCGAACTATTCATTCTCCTAACTGATCAAGGATTTTTGACCGAGGATAAGATGGTTTGGCAAACTTTGTCGAGCGTCCACGGTGATGGACTATTCGTGGATTGCAATTTCAAAAATGTAGTAATGACGAACGAACCTCTGCCCGGAAAACCTCCATTAAATAGCGCATTGTCACAAGAAGATCAGGAGTAAGGTTTTCTGAAAGATTAAGTTAGTTTTAATTAGGTTTCCTTCTGCAGTAACACTGGATCAATAGAGGATGATTTTTACTGGACCTGTAGGAAGAACAGTTTAGAACTGATAGAGCTATCCAGTCAGTAAAAATAAAGTTAGTTTAGTTTAGGTTTCATCCTGTAGTAACACTAGATCAAATAAGAGATTACTCTTACTGGACCTCTAGGAAGAACAGTTTAGAACTGATGGAGCTGTCCAGCAAAAATGAAGTTATTTTAGTTTAGTTTATAGGTTTCCTCTTGTAGTAACACTGGATCAAATAAGAGATTACTCCTACTGGACCTCTAGGGAGAACAGTTTAGAACTGATAGAGCTATCCAGTATAAATAATGTCAGTTTGGCTAGGTTTCCTCCTGTAGTAACAGAGATGATCCTTACTGGACCTCTAGGAAGAACAGTTTAGAACTGATAGAGCTATCCAGTATAAATAAAGTTAGTTTAGTTTAGGTTTCCTCCTGTAGTGACACTGGATCAATAAGAGATGATCCTCACTGGACCTCTAGGAAGAACAGTTTAGAACTGATAGATCTATCCGGTATAAATAAAGTTAGTTTAGTTTAGGTTTCCTCCTGTAGTAACACTGGATCAATAAGAGATGATCCTTACTGGACCTCTAGGAAGAACAGTTCAGAACTGATAGAGCTATCCAGCATAAATAAAGTTAGTCTAGGTTGTTCTTTTCTCTTGTACAGCTATATGTTAGCATTATCCATTCAAAAGGAACAACAACAGCAAGCGCAACAACCGTCATCGCCACAACAACAACAGCAACAGTCAGATCCACAACCCGTCATTCCCCCACAACCTCTCGCCCAAGAACCTCAAGAAGACCGAAGTAACAATGGAGGAATGACTAGCGAACAGGAATTATTTGAGTAAGTTCGAAAGTGTGGCAGACGTTGTTCTGTTGGGCGTATATATTGAACATTGAACCTAACTGCAAAGTTTCTTTCTCACAGCCTTCAGTATGCCATGCAGCTTCAAGAAGAGGAAGAAGCGAGGGCTAGAACGGGACAGCAACAACAGCAAAGACAACAACGTCAACAACGACAACAGCAGCAGCAACAGCCTCAGAGAAGAGCCGGTCGTCGGCCAACACCTCCCCCTTCCGATCCACACTTTCAAGGAAATGTTCAACAGAGACCAAGTGGAGGAGGGGTAACTTTGACATATTTATAAACAACCAAACTTTATTTATGCTGGATAGCTCCATCAGTTTTAAACTATTCTTCCTCTTGTCTAGTAAGGATCATCTCTTATTTATCTGGTATTACTACAGGAAGAAACCTAAACTAAACTAAACTAACTTTATTTATACTGGATAGCTCTTATTACTAAACTGTCCTTCCTACAGGTCCAGTAAGAGTCATCTCTTATTGATCCAGTGTTACTACAGGAGGAAACCTAAACTAAACTAACTTTATTTATACTGGATAGCTCTATCAGTTCTGAACTGTTCTTCCTAGAGGTCCAGTAAGAATATCTCTTATTGATCCAGTGTTACTACAGGAGGAAACCTAAACTAACTTAATTTATACTGGATAGCTCTATCAGTTCTGAAGTCTGAACTGTTCTTCCTAGAGGTCCAGCATTAAGAATCATCTCTTATTTATCCAGTGTTACTACAGGAGGAAACATAAACTAAACTAAACTAACTTTATTTACAGTATACTGGATAGCTCTATCAGTTCTAAACTGTTCTCCCTAGAGGTGCAGTATTAAGAATCATCTCTTATTCATCCAATGTTACTACAGGAGGAAACCTAAACTAAACTATAACTTTGTTTATATTGGATAGCTCTATCAGTTCTAAACTGTTCTTCCTAGAGGTCCAGTGAGAGTCATCTCGTATTGATCCAGTGTCACTACAGGAAGAAACCTAAACTAAACTAATTTTATTTATACTAGATAGCTCGATCAGTTCTAAACTATTCTTCCTAGAGGTCCAGTAAGGGTCATCCGCTAATCCTTATTTCTCCTTTTAGAATTGTGTCATTCTTTAAAGAGCTCAAAGCTTGTACAAAGACAATGGTCTTTTCTTAAAACTGGGCAGTACGATACCACCATGAGTTAAAACTGCCAGCAGGCTTATCGAATGACTGGAATAAAATAACGAATTATAAAAAAAATTAAATCTATATGAATTTAACGTAAGAACACTATTTACTATATTTAAAAGCTTAATATGAATGTGCGAATTTACTGTATTGCAGTGTTTCACAAAGCGTGAAAGTGCAGCACACAGCATAAATGTATCGACTTCGTGTGTTTTGGTGTAAATACATGTAATGGAGACACAAGATAAGAAAGCCACAGCCACACTGCTGCTTGTCGCGTGATTGAACTGACGTTTTTAATACATAGCAAGTCTATAATGCGTAAGGGACCGGTGATTAGAAATGTTTTTCGTGGCAAAAATTTTGCTGACCCAACCATTAAAAAGTCAAAAATTTGATTACCCAACCTCAAATATCAATTAAAAAATAAATACCCACCCCTGGCCAAAAACTTTACAAACGGAGACAATTCAGTTGTCACACATGTCCTTTACAACTTCTGTGACACGAATTTGATAACTGCATGCTTGTGAAATTTTCTGCAGTCTAAAGTTTCATGTTGTCTGCACATGTACTTTCTTTGGAGACACCATTGGTCTCCCGACAAATCGGGAAAATGATCAAGATAGTGACTCTGATTGATTTACATGTTGTATTGACATACAGTATGACTGTTGACATTGCTTTTTAGTCTTCAATATTTCAGTGAGTCATGCTTTGGTAATGACAATAAATTTTTATTACCCAACCCTTGAGTTGTTTTGTTTTTCATTTACCCAACCTTTTACTCGCTCAATATTTTGTTTACCCAACCCTTCTCCCTTCGGTGCCCCCCCCCCCTCCCATAAATGACTGGTCCCTAACTTTTGAGAAGAACGAACACTGTCAGCTAGCCATAGCAACTGGTCATAAACTTTCATCCAAACAGGTCAAAGTGCGACTAACACCACATACGATTTTTGGTATGTGTAATATTTGGTTCATTCTTAGAAGAAATATAATATGTCTTTATAGCAAAAAACCTCATCTTGATAAACTTTTTCACTGTCAAAGTTTCTGGATATGTCATTAGGTGAAATTTGGTTAAAAAAACAAAGGAAAACTAATTTTCAATTCACCTAATCACATCGTATTCGGAAACTTCGACAGTGAAAAAGTTGATCAAGATGGGATTTTTTATTTTTTACACAAAACATTTGCACTTATTTTGGCCGCCATGTTCGACGAATCAAGATGGCGGCAACAAAACAAAATTCATTTCAAAACGGTAAAAAGTCATCATTCTTTCTAAAACACAAAAGGAACATTATGAAACCGTTTGCTTGCATATTCATTGAGGTTTTAGTAAAAGATATTGCGTTTGAATAACATTTTGTGCGTGTATTTTATATTTATGTTAGTCGCGTGACCAGTTATAATATTGCCGGCTTTTGATGTAACTTTTGAAAACCAAAATTTCGGAATTTAAATAAAATGTCTTCGCTCGTGTTTATAAATCCACACATCTTAGTGGGCCTGTCGCCTGCACGCTTAAAATCTCACGACTTGTCAACAAGATATGCTCGCACTGCTTGTTCCCAGTTGTGGACAATGACAAGTCTGGAACAAGTTCGGTTATCATCTTGTAACAAGGTTGACGAGGCCAACAGACTCGCAACAAGTTGTTCCAACAAGTCTGATATCGTCTGCACGTAACAAGTTGTTAACAAGTTGATGACAACAAGCTCGTAGCAACTTATTACGAACAGCCTGTATTAGTCTTGTTGGAACAACTTGTAGCAAGTCTGTTTATACCGTCATCAACCTAAGCTTGTAGCGAGATGATAACAACTTGTTCCAGACTTGTCGCAACAACTGGGAACAAGCAGTGCGAACACATCCTGATATTGGCTTGACAACAACCTTGTTACGACTTGTTTGCAGATACGTAACAATTTGCGCGCTTTTATATGTACAAAATAAATTTTAGAGGTCATAGTACAAAATCAAATTCTACTTTATTTTTAATTCATTACAAATATTAAAAAAATTAAACCCTTTATATTACAAGTATAAAATGAACGACTAAAATTATAACCGTAGTTTTAAACTGTGGTAGCTATATTAATTGTAACTTTGTTACAATGTTTTTGTTACAAAAGTTTATTTTAGGAGATTGGCTCAACTTATTAGCGTTCATATACTATACATAGAAATACTGCAAAATATATTGATAACAAATATGTTTCTGGTGAATTTTCTTCAAATTGATTTTTACCATTGATTGTTATAAAAATTTAATAGCTTAAAACTAATGAATATACTTTTTCCAGTTAGGACTATATTCAATTTTTTAAATTTTTGATTCGTTTCTCAAGCGGCAAACAAACTTAAAAAGTATGTTTAGTGCTTTACTTGTAAAATTATGCTAAAACGAAGAGATTTTAGATGGTACCCCAAAGAGAAAATGATGTCTGAAGTTCAGTAAGTTTTGCTTATATTGCTGTAGAAATATGGCGTCAATTTTACAGCTGCATCAATGATAATTGCATTTAAATTGACAATATGTAACCAATATTTTTGTGTTTCTCAACCGCCAGATACATTTAAAAAGGTAGCTACATAACTGTGTAAACTACAAAATAAAGCTAAAACAAAGTAATTTTGAGAGGAACGCCAAAAAGAGTTTAGGTTTTGAACACTTGCATCGCAAATACGTGACATTGAAAAAATTGCCTCTTGACTGAGGAAACCATTCGACTGTAATTAACTATTAATTGGAATCTTTGGAAACTCGATCAGAATTGGTCCAAGTATCCTCTGGTTTTTCTGTGTTTGACAAATCAGGCGGTTCCACGCCATTCAAAACACCGTTACTCATGTTAGACCTGTTTGCCGATTCTTTCTTCTCCTTGAAACTCACAGCCACAAAAATATACACAATGAAATTAACGAACATGAGTCCAGCCAACAAGAAGAAATAGTAAGCCAAGTGATGGCCTGCGTTGATATAGTTTTTATCCGGGTACCATTTTCCGTCTTCTCCATTGATTGCCTCAGTTATTGCGTTGACGATGGCGACCAAAGCAGCCCCAACATAAGTGCCCAGACCAGTTGTGAGAAGATAGACTCCCATAATAACGCCTTGGAGAGACTTCGGTGCTTCAGTGTACGCGAGTTCTAGGCCTAGAAATAAGAGAGATCACATTTTACGGCCAGCTTTTGGGGCCTGTTTACATGGGCGCTGTTTGCCTGGAAGCTTATGTGAGTGCGATGAATGACGACATTATGTAAACATATGCTATTAAACAAACTGCATTTTGTATTACGACTTTAAGGCCCTGTCACACTATTGCGTAGTATCGTACTAGCGTATGCCAGCGTATGAAAAATATCACTCATACGCCGGTATACGCTGACATATGCTAGGGGTACGTTAGGCATAGGTTGTATACGTTTCAAGCACGGTCGCATACGCTGGCATACGGCGAGGCAGAAAATTTTTTTTAAAAGAAAAAAATAATTTTGTGCGTATTTGGACGTATGCTTTATACGATAAGCATACTCTAGGCACACGCTGAATAACGCTAGAGGTACGCCAGATGTACGGTACTCCTGAAAATTATTTCTGAAAAAGGTATCAATTTCCCGTGCATAATACAAAATGACTGAAAAACGGCAAACTTCGCAGGGCTATATTATCCGCATTTTACAACATTTCGCAACGAAACTTCGGAATATTACTAATTTTGTGATGCTCTTTCATTAGCTGTGATGAAATGTTTGTCTAGACTTGTCTAAATCAAAATTTTGTTCATTAGGGAACAGGTCCATTTACTGAGTAGAGAAGATAGAGTTCTAAAAGCCATATGAACAAAGTTAAAATTGCACATACCTGTGATGCTTGTAAAAACTTCGCTCAGCCCAATTAACGTATACTGAGGTATTTGAGAAAATATAGTAATGTTGGCAACATGAATATCATCTTTATCCCCTTCTCGATGCTGTAACTGACAGCAGTGTTCGACTCTGTACCATTCTAACGTTCCAGCGCAGAGCATACTCGCAGTGGCAACCAGCATGCCCACTCCAATACGCTGTAGCTGGCTGGGGTGGATATCGAAACATCTTGCCAAGAGAGGATAGATCAGTTTGTCCATGATTGGAATAAGTAATAGAACGCCAAGAGTGTCGAGCAATGAGAGCGAAGCGATTGGAATTTGAAAACTACCCAGCTTGATATCCATGTATTCCCCCTGGTAAATCATTGATGTGTTCATCTGTATAGAGAGAATTTTTTAAACTTTACTTAAGGTAATTCCGCAGTTTTGCATTGCGCACTTTTACTGCGCACATCTTATAATTTATATAATTTCATCCATTATACGCATACCGTTTAAAAAAAAATTATGTAAATATTTCATTTTATGACAATTTTATGTTACTTCAAAACATCTTTGGTTACATTCGTGCAAAGAATTACGTTAAAATCAATGTTTTCAAAAAAGGCATACAAAAGTGTACCTAGGGTTCCCTGTGTCTGTAGTATATTTATTTACTTGTATTTCACGTTTTAATGCCACAATTCCCTATAAAAAAGATCGGTGACCCCCGTTTTTTAACTGATAATTTATTTCTTTAATGCATTTTACATTTCATATCCGAAATTAAAAGAAAAATCATTTCTGGATCTTGAAAAAAATCCTTTATCAATGCATGTTCTCAAAGAAAGATATGTAAAGAAATGTGCAAAAGACATTTGTGGATCAGAATTGTACACGTTAGTAGTCTCATTTTGCTCAAAACACAATATTTTTTCAAAAATAATTACAAGATAGGTTTACTAAAGCAAAATCCGCGCTAAAAACGTCAATAAATATCGGGCTGTTGTGATTTTGCTGTCATTCGTAATGAGCGTCAAGATGGCGCCATATTGGGGTAAAGGTGGTATATTGTGATTGTCATATCTTCTTAACGAGTTCGGTGACCCCGACTTTTTTGTGTGATTTTACTTTAAGTATATCATAAATTCCATGCCTGGCAAGTTTCAGCATATTCTCATTTCGGGAACAATTACTGCGGAATTACCTTAAAGTGCTTAATATAGGGGGCGCATTGCAGGGGTGCGCACCCCACCTAGTGATGTCTAGCACGCCTCCTACGGAAGTCGAAGCACCATCCTAAAAAAATCTGCTGACCATACATTTTCTGTTTTTCGAATAGCGATTAGCAAAACTTCTACTGTTAGCGCGTGTCGATTTCTTGAAACGATTCAATTGGTTTGTGAGCTCATAAGAAACTACTCGTAATGCTTTAGTTAAATATCATGGTTAAATATCTGACTCGTTCCCAGTCGCTCGCGTTGGATGATGGGAATGGGTTAGGTTTGTATTCTCCCGTACTAACTCAAATATAGCGAGGGACTGTGGAAGAGTCAGGTTAAATATGTAAACATGTCGAGGTTGTTATACAGCCATATTTTCAAATATACTGTACTTTAACAAGCAAATTTACTGTACTGTGCTACAGCAACTGTCCAGTCACGCATACGTGATAAAAACCCGATATAAACATTATAAACAAAAGATAATGTAAAACGTATAAACAGAACGGCGAACATGCAGATTCGGCCATCTCAAATAATGGTAATGATAGTAGCGTTGCAGACTGCAGAGGAGAGTGAGAAGAAGGCTCCCTCATGCACCACCCCATGGAAAACCTGGACCCCTCACATAGATATCTTGACCCCTCCTTGCAGATGAGGCTAGATATGCCACTGCTATAAACTCACCTGTGCATAAACCGTCCAATATAATATAAAGGTGGCAAATATCGGAAGAAGCCTGTATACTTTCTTGACATCTTCCACTTCCCAGTTGCTATAGGAACCGCCAAAACAAATCTTAGCTCGATCTAACCAATGATTGACAAACGAACTCGACAGAGCAGGCCTCCGAGATTTTTTGATCGCTTCTTTCATAATTTTTAAAGTGGTTGTAAGTACACTGCCAGCTGGTGGGCGGAGATTGTAACTTCGCTTACCAGCCAGGAATATTATGAGTGCCAGGACTAACGAGAAAGCTGGGATTAGATTGCCGTAGAAGAAGGATACATTTTGTTGGATGTAGACGACAAAAGTGAATGCAAGAAGGGCGCCGATGTTGATGAACCAATAAAACCAACTGAAGAACGCTTGAAAATTACAAGAATTACATTAGTACCACAAGACTCTAATGTTCTTATCGTTGTGATAATGGTAGTGGTGATGATGGTGATAATGGTAGTGGTGATGATGGTGATAATTATGGTGATAATGATGATGATGGTGATAATTATGGTGATGATGGTGATGATTGTGATGGTGATGATTGTGATAGTGATAATGATGGTGATGATGGTGGTGATCATGGTGGTGGACCAGTGGTGATGATGTTGGTGGTGATAATGTTGGTGGTGATAATGTTGGTGGTGATGATGATGGTGGTGATGATGACATCTGGTGGTGATGATGATAGTGATGATGATGATGGTAGTGATGATGATGATGGCAGTGGTGATGATGGTGGTGATGATGATGATGGTAATGATGGTAATGATGGTGATGATGGTGATGATGGTGATGATGTTAATGATGATGATGATGATGGTGGTGATGATGGTGGTGATGGTGGTGATGATGGTGGTGATGGTGATGATGATGATGATAATGATAATGATGATGGTGATGATGATGTTGGTGGTGATGATGATGGTGGTGATGATGATGATAATGGTGGTGATGATGATGATGGTGGTGATGATGATGATGGTGGTGATGATGATGATGATGGTGATGACGATGATGATGGTGGTGATGATGATGATGGTGATGGTGATGGTGATGATGGTGATGATGATGATAATGATGGTTATATCATGATGGTGGTGGTGGTGATGATGGTGATGATATTATAATAAACACCAACATCTTACACTAGTACCTTGAATAGCAGCTGGTCCACGGTTTGAAACTTGTTCTGCCCCAAATGGGGAAACATTTGCTTTAATTCCACCAGTTCCAATAGCAACCAAGAATAAGCCAATTATGTAAACCGTCAGCTTGAAATCAGTGCTGTTGGTAACCCCGTCAGCAGCCCATTGACTGTGCTCCGTTTTATCCTTCGTGATGGAACCAAGAGGAAGTAGTATTGTGCCGACAAAGTAAATGATCGCACTCACTAAGATGACAGCAAATTTCCCAGCTTTTGAGTCTGCCAGCCATCCGCCCAACACTGGCATAGTGAAACATGTTCCTATGAGAAGAAATAAGAATTCGATTTTTATCAAACTCCTTTTAAAATAATGAAGAAAATTTAATCCAAGAACTGATGGTGATGATAGTATAGTGATGACAATGGTATACTCACATAAAAAGCATGTGTACAAGTTGTTACAGGTCTGCAAACAAGTTGTTAGAAATCTGTTCACAAGCTGACAACAAAGGCGAGCGATTATGCACGCTTTTCTTAACTCGAGCAACATTCCCGCATGTTTGGATCAGGCCATCCAAACACGGAAACCATAAAGTATAAATTGTTTTATAAAATAACAACTTTCCATTTTTAAAATATATTTATATACATGTTATTTTATAACACAACTTGTTGACGGCTTGTTGGCAGACTTGCTACAAGATTTATGTGTGGGTATAAGTGATGATGACGATGGCGATGGTAACGGGTGATGATGGCAATAGTCGAGATAAACAACAGTAGTTTACCACAGTACCTTGAAACAGGTATGCCAAGATCGAAGCCTGCGCCGGAGTCATTCTCAAATGGTCACCTTCAGTGGCAAATAACACAAGGTTTCCGGCGATACCATAAAATGTCAATCTCTCGCATAACTCCGTAAAGAGTATGCAGACTACGGCACAAGTGAAAATCGAGGTTCTCGGAAATGTTGGCGTCTCGCGGTCACTGACGACAGGGGTTGACGAGCGTATTAACGGAGAGGTGTCGGATAACGACCCTGTCCTTTCGAGAGAATTATCGGCCATATCCTAAAAATATTAAACTGACAGTCAACTTCAAGAAAGTCTTGGGGAATCCAAAGATTCAATTTTCTTGCTACGCTAATTAAGTTTTATTAACATTTCTGCTACTCATTCAAGACCAACATCTGTTGTGGTGTATAAGTGCTTTGTATAGGTACTTACCGATAGATTAAACATCATTCACCCCTATATAAACCAATAGCGATTTTCAAACTGTGTATTATATAACATGCAGCCATACAGTATAATTGCTATAGACAATCTAAAATATGCTCATCGATCAACACATTAAAATGTTCAGTCATCCATAGTTTTGCATATATAAGAATAATTAAACTAGTCGTTTCATAAATTTTAATGCTAATTTTCATGCACGTTTAAAAATTGTAAATATATCAATTTTTACTTTATAAAATATCCTGTAAGAACTATTTGCTGTGCTCTTTTATCTGCTTTTAAATTAATAATATAAAGCCGGTTAATTAGACGCTTCTTTGCTGAATTTCATAATAAATTATAAATACTTGCTATATACTCAATTTTGTCAACAACAGAAAAAGGAAGTTTTTGAATCCTGACGTACCTTAAAATGAAGTCGTTCATAAAGTACAACTACATGAACAAGAGACTTTATAAAATAAAGTAGAAGTCTTCAAACAATTGCCACAGGTCTACAGCGCTTTTGATTAGATTCGATTTCAGCAACGAGGAAATAAACGGCCCCAGAACTTAGCCAACGTCCCGTACGTGTTGTTGATACAAAATCACTTCGAAAGACGTTGTAGCAATCAGTGTGCATGAAAGTCACGAGAATTACAAACCTCACAAGACCATATTTCGCCAGAAAATTAAAACTTAGTCGCTCACCACAGCTTCGAAACTTTGTAAACTACTGTAAGGAAGCGAAAGCATTGCTTACAAGTATTTTTTCTTATTTGTCGATCGGTCACAAGACACTATTTGGCCTTCCCCGTAATAAGCGGAAGTATCGATGTTTAATAGCGACAAGTATATCGAGTAGGCATGAAATACCATAACATTAAAACCAACCAAATAAAAGCTTTTTGTTTGCACTTAGACAAAGAAATAGCGATATTTAGCATAAATGTATGAAACCTCGAGCCTTTCTGCTTTTTATAATAGCATTTTCGCTTTAAAAATGGCAAAATGGGCTGCAATTTTAAAGCCCATTGACATTGACCTTTCACTTCCTGGGAATTTATAATTTTGGGAAATGCAACATGCGAAGGTCACGAGCTCTGGGTCACGAGATGATGTTTACATTCATCTGAGGGTTTATGTAGGATGCCAACGAATATATAGGTATCAAATAGAGTAAGACGGTGTAAAGAGCGTATCGTGTCCCTCTTTAACCATAAATATAAAAAAAATCACCATAAAACCCTACCGTCGCGCAGAATATTCGATATAAATGCCAAACGTTTTCATGTTTTACATTAAAAAAAAAATTATTTTCAACCCAAATGCTTTGTTATCTAAAATTTCCTTTATTTGACATCCAGGATTGTTCTTACTGAGCAGTTTAGAACTGATAGAGCTATCTAGTATAAATAAAATTAGTTTAATTCAGGTTTCCTCCTGTAGTAGCACTGGATCAATAAGAAATTACTCTTACTGGACTTCCAGGAAGAACAGTTTAGAACTGATAGAGCTATCCAGTATAAATAAAGTTAGTTTAGTTTAGGTTTCCTTCTGTAGTAACACTGGATCAATAAGAGATGATCCTTACTGGACCTCTAGGAAGAACAGTTTAGAACTGATAGAGCTATCCAGTATAAATAAAGTTAGTTTAGTTTAGGTTTCCTCCTGTGGTAACACTGGATCAATAATTCTTACTGGACCTCTAGGAAGAACAGTTTTGAACTGATAGAGCTATCCAGTATAAATAAAGTTAGTTTAGGTTTCCTCCTGTGGTAACACTGGATCAATAATTCTTACTGGACCTCTAGGAAGAACAGTTTAGAACTGATAGAGCTGGCCAGTATAAATAAAGTTAGTTTAGTTTAAGTTTCCTGCTGTAGTAACACTGGATCAATAAGAGATGGTCCTTACTGGACTTCTAGGAAGAACAGTTTAGAACTGATAGAGCTATCCAGTATAAATAAAGTTAGTTTAGTTTAGATTTCCTCCAGTAGTAACACTGGATCAATAAGAGATGACTCTTACTGGATCTCTAGGAAGAACAGTTTAGAACTGATAGAGCTGTCCAATATAAAGTTAGTTTAGGTTTTTACGAAAATAATAAATCACAAAAACTTTATGCACAAAAAGGTGATAAAAATAGAGCTTATTTGGGGCTGCCTACGCAAGCTGATAAATTATATAAAATATAAAAATAAAACATAATGTAATTCACACGTCTTCCCACGCATCTGGCAATAAAAAGCAGCGATATGCAGCTGAGCTATTAGGACGCATTTTGCCCTGAGAGCCATTTGCTTTTAGCTTCTAGCTTCATTAATTCATTGACGCAGCATGCTTATTGATTTCGCAAAGCGTTCGAGCGGTGAGCATAGAACGTCATCAGCGCAAATTACATTATTCCAACGGATGAAAGTCCGGGCTTGTGGATCAAAAGCTTTGTGAGATCAATAGACGTGGTGTACCCGACAAAACAATTATTTTCAATCGCCACGCAAACTTACACAAAGTTCAGTTTAACAGCTTGTATTATGTCTCTGACTTTGCGGAAAACAACAAGTATTTATACTGTTACAAAACTTCCGATCCGTATGCCCGGATCTTTTCAATAATACAGGAAATGTCCTATTCAAAAAGTGTCTGTATTAGAAAGGTGTCTGTAGTAGAGAGATGTCGTATTAGAGAGGTGTCTGTATTAGAGAGGTGTCTGTAGTAGAGAGATGTCTGTAGTAGAGAGATGTCGTATTAGAGAGGTGTCTGTATTAGAGAGGTGTCTGTATTAGAGAGATGTCTGTATCAGAGAGATGCCTGTATTAGAGAGATGTCTGTATTAGAGAGTGTTTGTATTAGAGAGATGTCTGTATTAGAGAGGTGTCTGCATTAGAGAGATGTCTGTATTAGAGAGTGTTTGTATTAGAGAGATGTCTGTATTAGAGAGGTGTCTGTATTAGAGAGATGTCTGTATTAGAGAGATGTCTGTCTTAGAGAGTGTTTGTATTAGAGAGGTGTCAGTATTAGAGAGATGTCTGTATTAAAGAGATGTCTGTATTAAAGAGGTGTCTGTATTAGAGAGATGTCTGTATTAAAGAGATGTCTGTATTAAAGAGGTGTCTGTATTAGAGATATGTCTGTATTAGAGAGATGTCTGTATTAAAGAGGTGTCTGTATTAGAGAGATGTCTGTCTTAGAGAGATGTCTGTATTAAAGAGATGTCTGTATTATTGAGGTGTCTGTATTAGAGAGGTGTCCATATTAGAGAGATATTCGTATTAGAGAAATGTCTGTATTAGAGAGGTGTAATAGAGAGATATCTGTATTAGAGAGGTGTAATAGAGAGATGTCTGTATTTGAGAAGTGTCTGTATTAGAGGTGTCTGTATTAGAGAGATGTCCGTATTAGAAAGGTGTCTGTATTACGGCCTGTTTATATGGAGGCGATTCACCCGGCATGCAAAGCGAGTTACTCGGCAGCGGCGAAATCCCGGCTGTTATAGAAACTTATACTAATCCCAGCTGACTGTTGATACATGATGCAGCCGAGTAACTCGCCTTGGCGAGTTCCCGGCAGAAAGGGGCGGGATATCGCTTAGGAAAGATGAATGTTTTACCATGTAAACACTTTGCCCCGGTAACTCGGCCGCCCGAGATAGAATGCCCTGTACGTGCTTTGCATTTGAAATATAATAGCTCAAAAATACATACGAATCGATAGATAAGTTTTCCTGAATTGCTCGGCACTTCCCGGCTTAGAAACGGTTTTCCACTAGCGAATTATTTCGCGCGAAGCGACTATTTGCTTTTGTCCTTGAGCTTTCGGTTGGAACCATTTGGAACTAATTAGTTTTAGATAAAAGAATAAAGTCGATTCGCGCGAAAAAAATCGCTTGTGCATGGCTATATCATTACAATTGCAATCACAACAATTTACGCGGCAAAAATGATAATTTTAAGTCAGATATTTCTTACAAAATGCATAAAAATACTACAAAATTCATACAAACAATAATTTCAATAAAAAAAATTACACGCACAATTAATCAATTATATCCAACAGCGACACAAATCGTGAATTCATTATATTTGCGTTACGGGCACAGCACGAGTCAGATATTAATTTTATACGATTCATGCAATTAATATAATCTTAATTATTAATGTCGCTCGACCATTATATAAGAGGGCGAATCCAAAAACAGCCTAAGGCAAAGAGGCTACGAATTACATGTAAAGTAAACCAATATTTCAGACGTTTGCGGAAATATATAAGCTAAAGTAAGTATGTTTGCGTAATTTTACAGTAACTTATTAAGTTGGAATGCGCTTTATGAACACTTTATTAATTTACTCTGTCTGACGCCAAACGATTTTACTCGTCAAGGGGAAAGCTCTGCTGCTCAATGGGTTAACAATAGTAGCTCGCTAGAATACTTAGAAGGTCTTGAAGGGGTTTTAATACAGAGTTTAAATAACTTGAAGGAATGATACGGAGCGAATATTGATTGAAAGTTTGTCTATATATAAAATATCGTGCATGAAGACTGCAGTATTCTGCCGTTTTCCGGTTCGAGGTCAATTTTCTGCTATTGCGCGTCAGTAATTTACTTAGTATGTGACAGAAAAGGACAGGTATATTCATAGACTTTAAACCTTTTTACAACGTGAAGTAGTTATTTCCAAAGATAGCTTTTGAAAGCAGAATATTGTGTTTAAAAAATCAAGGTGAATAACAAGATTTTGTTGGCAAAATATCAAGTTTTGAATAATAGTTTTTGAAGACAGAAATTATCAAGTGTAAATTAATTTTATATACATTTATTAGACATATGACCAGGAACAGCTAATTCTTGTCGAGCTAATCCTTCAAAATAGCTTGCAATGGACATTTCCAGCAAAAGACGAAATTTTAATCTAGACAAGAAGAACAAATCCATTATCATAGCTGGAAAGAGCATTTTAAAATGAGTAAAACTTCAAAGATTGGTTGCGAAATGTTGTAAAATGAGGAAAATATAGTCCTGTGTCTGTGAAGTTCGCAAATTTTGTATATACATATTTGCATTACGCGCGGGAAAAGTAACCATTTTTGAGCCGAAAGTGGTTATTTTTACCGCGCGTAATACAAATATATACAAAATTTGCGAACTTCACAGGGCTATATTCTCTTCATTTTACAACATTTAGCAACCGATCTTTGCAGTTTTACTCATTCTAAGACGCTCTTTCTAGCTGTGGTGTTGGATTTCACTCTTCTTGCCTTGATCAAAATTTAGTCTATAGCTGCATGGAATCACCCATTTCCAACATGTTCCATATATTCTTACAGAATGTCAAGACTGCTTCTCGTTGGCTTATTGGTGACAATGGCAATTGTTAGCGTGACAGCGAAATGTGAGATAGGCTTTTTCTGTGACAGCATAAAGGGCAGACGGGAAACATTACCAGGCAACCAAGAGAATTATTTAGACGAAGGAAAGCGAATGCCCAAACCAATGCCTTTCAAGATGAAACTGGCTCGCAGGAGAGCAATGGCAAGATTTTTGGCAAACGGCTACAGGTTTTTGGAAAAGGAAAATGATCATTGATGATTGACGTGTGCTTAAAGCGAACAGGATAACTTCACAGTAAAACAAAATAAAACGTATATTGATAGACGCTGAATTATTTTCATACAAGTATATCTTCATATCTGTGAGGATTAGCTGTTTGAAACTCTTTAGAGAAGCAGAATGAAAAAGCTAAATGCAAATATCTATTATGTAATTGAAAATGTAACTTATAGTATTTAACTTATTAGCTTCAAAGATCTTATATTAAAACCTTTTACAATGGAGAAAAGTTAAAAATTGTGCATTTAAAACCCCGCAAACAGACGAGAAAGACTTCCTTGACTTTATTTTTTTTCGTGTCGGGAAATAAATGACAACTTTTCTTTGCCAAGGAGCCATGTTCCAAAGCTAGTCATACGAGCTTTTGGACAAAGAAAATTTGTTTGCACCAAGGAAAACTTGACCGAAGTGTACAAGTTTTTCTAAGGGTTTTAGAAGGCTTTCTAAGGGAGCCTCTTGCAGCCACCTTATGACTCATGTCTTATTAAAAAAGCACAGCTATAACGATAGAAGGGTCGGTTATAGGGGCAAATCCCAACCCACCCTGTCATTCCCTGTCAACATAATCGCAAGGATTTTATGACGGCAACGCGATGGCAACGGCTACCAATACAATAGATCATTGAAAAGAATTGAGTAATTACAATAAATGAATAATTTAGACATTGTCCTCGCTCTGTTTACAACGTCAAATCTTAGATTTTCACGTCTTGATACAACGGCTGCATTCCAAGCCGCAACAAGTGCAACTTCAAACTGGGTTTAGCAGAACTCTTCCCAACCATATAAAACCCATGTCTTCAACTTCTAAGACTGTATTAAATTCATATGATTGATAATATACGACGAACTATCTTTACTACCATTTATTTGAAGGAGTTTGTTTTGGCCGTCGCGTTGCCGTCCTAAAATCGTAAGGTCTCTATTCCCTGCGGGAGGAAACCGCGAGTTTCGGCAGAGCGTTGACTGACTCTTGTCACACAAAGGTCTATACACAGCCTAGTCCCAGTCGTTCTGAAGCAAGCGCGAGAAAAAAGTGGATGTAGTACGAGTCAACCCGCGTGAATTCATCGATGCATTTGCGGAACTGCTGAAGCGTCACGACATACTTGTTAGCGGCTGTCAATTTCAAACAATGAGTTTACGATGTGGTATTGACACATTAGAACGCTTCAAACAGACGGATTTGTGAAGAAACCGATTTGATAAAGTTTGACAACTTATAAAGCACATATATTTTCTACAAGAAGACAATCTCAGACCGCTAACTTCGGATAGCGAACGACGAAGAATTTGAAGATTAAATGCAATTTGTTTTGGTCGATATTTTATGGCGCTCACAAGCTTACGCTGCCGTGAGAGTACTATGGGAAACCTTTCTTCGTCGTTGTGTAATTCAAAGCCGAAATAAAATTGGAATAAAGGTAATGTACTGCAGTGTATATTTGTAGCTAGTTTTACTAATTTGCGAGTCACAATTCCTAGGGGTCCGGGGGCACATTCCCCCGGAAAAAATTTTACACCAAATTTTACACCAAACCACCTTTTCACAAATTATGAAATTATGATTTCAGAATGTTTGACAATTTAATTCGGTTGGAGACATAATCCCACACATAGAGCTTCATTATAATAGAAGTTCAACGTTCAGTAGATTCTACTGGGTGTCCGCCAAAAAAAACGGACACTGTTTGATTTGATGCAACGTAAAAGCTATAAAAGCTATCGCAATTAAATGAAGATCATTGCATTCAGAAAGGACTAACTTAGATTTTGATATATAACACTTTAATTTACATGCAATATTGACTGCGCTATTGATGTTTGAACGTGGAACTACTGTTTTTTAAAATGTCAAAAATTAGCATAAAAACAACCTTATAATTACTTATGTAGTTATACTTGTTAAATAATAAATATTTTTATTTTCGTTGTATCTCGCTCAATATTGCAGGTAAATTCAAGTGCTATTTTTTTCAAAATCTAATCCTTTCTGAATGCAATGAGCTCTATTTCATTGCGATAGCTTTTATAGCTTTTACTTTACATGAAATCAAACAGGTTTTTTTTTGCGACACCCGGTATATGCAAGATGCGCAACACTATCGCCCGTATTCTAAAAGCTCACTTACACTCAATGAGTGGAGGTTCAATCTGAGCTTCTCTTGAGTTCAATCTGAGCTTCTCTTGAGTGTCAATGCTGTTTGTGAATAGCTGGTGACTGAGTAGTCACCAAGTAAGGTATGACACTAGTCCTCCAGCTGTTCAAAAACAACAATGACACTCGAGAGAAGCTCAGGTTGAACTTCCACTCATTGAGTGTGAGTGAGCTTTTAGAATACGTGCGAACATGTCTGCTGACCATTTTTCACCCCACCCCAATTTTTCATCTGATTTGAGGGATCTTAAACTACACCCTGAAAACTGTGGTCACTAGACTGGTTTAGTTTTCACTATTTCTGGTGACCTGTGCCATAATATTTATATTTAAAAAAAAAATCATATGTTATTTTACTTGGTGGTGCGAAATAAAAATTGTTGTTGTTGTTGTTGTATATTGGGATGTGTATAGACGAATATAAAACAGGGAAGGGACGCTCTTTGCAAGATCTACAGTTGTGCAATTTATGTTAATTAATTCTGTTGATTCGGTGACAAAAAGCTATAGTCTTATACAACTTATTATAACAGTATGTTTTTAATAAACTTATTTGCCATTTGGGGTTCAATTGCACTGGCGATTAATTGTCTATTTATGTAAATTCGCCTTGGTAATTGTATGTAAGAAGCGGAGTGGTTGCAATGGACCTATTACCTAATGAACAAAATTTTGATCTAAACAAGTCTACACAAACATTTCATCACAGTTTGAAAGAGCATCACAAAATTAGTAATATTCCGAAGTTTCGTTGCGAAATGTTGTAAAATGCGGATAATATAGCCCTGCGAAGTTTGCCGTTTTTCAGTCATTTTGTATTACGCACGGGAAATTGATACCTTTTTTCAGAAAGCGGTATCAATTTCCCGCGCGTAATACAAAATGACTGAAAAACGGCAAACTTCGCAGGGTTATATTATTCGCATTTTACAACATTTCGCAACGAAACTTCGGAATATTACTAATTTGGTGATGCTCTTTCAAGCCGTGATGAAATTTTTGTGTAGACTTGTCTAGATCAAAATTTTGTTCATTAGGTTAATAGGTCCGTCCATTTGAATCAAATAAACGTAAAACCAGTCAAAAACAACATAGCGTCTATCGACTACCTGTTTCCAAAGTAAACAATGAATTGTAGTAATAGTTCACGCGTAAAATCTGACAGCTTGTCAACAAGATGTGTTCGCACTGCTTGTTCCCAGTTGTTGACAAGTCTGGAAAAGTTGTTATCATCTTGTAACAAGGTTGATTAGGCCAACAGACTCGCAACAAGTTGTTCCAACAAGTCTGATATCGTCTGCACGTAACAAGTTGTTAACAAGTTGATGACAACAAGCTCGTGGCAACTTGTTACGAACAGCCTGTATTAGTCTTGTTGGAACAACTTGTAGCAAGTCTGTTACCGTCATCAACCTTGTAACAAGATGATAACAACTTGTTCCAGACTTGTCACAACAACTGGGAACAAGCAGTGCGAACACATCCTGATAGCGGTTTCACAACCACCTTGTTACAACGCGTTTGCAGATCTCTAACAACTCTCGCGCTTTTATATCTCAACACGGCAAACCGGGCTCATATATGGGCGGGATTTTACTGTACGGTAAATCGATTTCACAACGGGATTTTTACTACTAACACTATAGCCACACGTGCTCCCATAGTCTAGGAACAATAGAATCTAGCATTATTTTAATAATGCTAGATATTAAATTTTTTATTATTTTTAATATTATTGTATAACTTAAAAGTTATACAATTGTCATTTTAAGACTTTACTTATGTTGCTTTTCAGAGAAATTCATTCAATAAAAGTCACTATGGATTCGAAGGCAAAAGTAGTATATACAGATACACTGGAACACAAGAAACCGTATTTTGAAAGGACAATAAAGCACAAGAAATCATTTTTCCTACGTTGTGTTGTGATGTTAGCCTCGCTGCTAACTTTCTATGTACTACTAACATTCTATCATCAGCTGAAACAAGCGAGTCAACTACTGTTGGAAATTAAACGACAAAGCGTAGCTTTAAACACAAACAATACTTTACAATGGCGGGAGAATATCAAACCAGACAAGATTAAGGATAACACAAATTCTGAGATAGAGTTTGACAACAATATATTCGATAGAATTCTAGATTTTGCCAAAGCGCACAATGATAGCCAGTTCAGCGAAGACGACTTAGGCCAAGCGATTCGAAGACGCTTTCAAGAAAATGTCTACATGATAAGAAAACGCTTTTACGAATCGCATCAGTCGAAACGGCTCGAACCGAACGCTGTACCAGAGAGCACGCAAGGTGTAGAAAGGAACACGGAAGATGTGCAAAAGAACACGAACGCTTTACAAGGGAACACGCGAAATTCTGCTTTTTTTAACTTGGCAAAGTTTGACAGCAAAATTCCACAAATTTCGGATATTGAAAATCCCGAAATCCTGCAGGCAACCCGCGTGGAGAATCCGCAAATCTCGCGTGGAGCTCGCGTGGTTCCACGTTTCGCGCGCGACACCCACGCGGAGGTACAAAACAGGGACGAGGAAATTGTCGAGGAAAGTTCAAGTATCTCGCGCGAAACTCGCGTGAAGGACACGAATTCCACACGTGGGACACACGAAGCTCGCGTGGAGAACTCAAAGGTAGCTCACGAAACAGGAGCAAACGTAATTATCGTAGCTTACCATCGCTCAGGCTCGTCGTTTTTGGGAGAGATGTTCAACCGCAACACAGACGCTTTCTATCTGTTCGAACCGATACACACCATCGACTCGTTTCTCGACGCTCGCCGACGATTTCCGATACTTTACGACACGCTAATTCGGAATTTGTTAGACACTATATTCAGATGTGATTTTGCGAAGCATCCATTGTTTGTGAACACTTTAACAAGTTCGGCATTTAGGCCAAAAAGTCAGGCGTTGACGTCAGACGGACTTTGTGACCCGCGAGCAGACTCGAATAAAATGCATTTATGTCGACGAATAAACGCTACCCTACTCACGAAATTATGTAGTTCCAGGGCCCACACGGTCGTAAAAACGATTCGCATGGCACACTGGGGCAATCTCGATTTCCTTACTGATTCCTTGCGTACTTCGTTTAAGGTAATTCATCTGGTTCGCGATCCGCGCGGGATCATCACGTCACGCGTATCGTGGCTTCTCGAACGCATCGCGAGGGACAAAAATTCTACATCTCGCGAAAAAATTGCCGTTCGCTCGGCCATTGCGAAATACGTAGGCATTATATCCGTCAATTTATGCCAGCAAATGGCGAACGACATAAATGACTGGACAAAAAGAGCGAAAATTGGTCGGCCTTATGCAATGGTTCGATATGAGGACATCTCAAGACAACCTCTGACCGTTTATAAACAAATCTCCGAGTTCGCGGGCGTCGCCCAATCCAAGGCCGTGATTGGTTGGTTGGAGAACAATACAAAATCTTCGGACTTAAATTATTACTCGACTACGCGAAATTCTTCCGCTGTACCACATATGTGGCGTCGCAGGCTCACGATGGAGCTGGTATCTGAAATTCAAAGGAACTGCGCACAAGTGATGAGAATTCTGGGATACAAATTGGTGAACAGTGAAAAGGAATTGAGGAACATGAGGGTACCTTTGCTGGTAGACTGGGGAAATAAGGGTTTGCTTAGGACAAAGCCTTATATATAGAAAGTTATGTAACTAGTTAACTAGTTAACTAGTTAGCCAACTAGCCAACTAGCTAACTAACTAACTAACTACCTAACTAACTACCTAACTAACTAACTAACTAACTAAATAACTAATTACTAATTAACTAATTAACTAACCAACTAATTGAACAACTAACCAACTAATTAAACAACTAACCAACTAACTAACTAACTAACTAACTAACTAACTAACTAACTAACTAACTAACTAACTAACTAACTAACTAACTAACTAACTAACTAACTAACTAACTAACTAACTAACTGACTAACTAGTTAACTAACTAACCAAGCTTTATATATTGTTATGAAATTATAACGAATTACGTAAAGCGCACATTTTGTAAAAATTTGCATCATTGTATACAAAAATAGCCTTTTTCTCTAAGTGCCCTACGTCCAATTTCACGATTGTGTTTGTAGTAAGTTCTTTGTACTGCTTTCACGATTGTGTTTGTACTGTTTTGACGCAATTGAATTGATATTAATAAATTCTACAGAATAAAATAATGTCTGTGTACCTTCGTCAGTCTACTTTTCCAAATTTCGAGTTATATTTTCCAAGAGCTGCTTCGTCCATGATCACTTTCACTTTGAGTCTGGCATCCTGCGTCGTTTCTGTCTCGCTCACTGTTGCCTCGTGATGCAACCAACTAGAAAAAAAGGGAGAACAGTGCTTCCGGTTTGACTCAAACACCAAGGATTTCTCTAGGACCTCAGGGAGAACGGTTTAGAACTGATAGAACTATCCAGAATAAATAAAGTTATTTTAGTTTAGGTTTCCTCCTGTAGTAACAATGCATCAAGAAGAGATGACTCTCATTGGACCTCTAGGGAGAACAGTTTAGAACTGATAAAGCTACTGTATCCAGTATAAATGAAGTTAGTTTGGTTTAGGTTTCCTCCTGTAGTAACACTGGGTCAATAAGAGAGGGCTATTACTGGACCTCTAGGAAGAACAGTTTAGGACTGATAAAGCTGTCCAGTATCAATAAAGTTAGAGCTTTTCTTCTGTAGTAATACAGGATGCATGAATAAGAGATGATCCTTGCTGAACCTCTAGGAAGAACAGTATACAACTGATAGAGCTATCCAGTATAAATAAAGTTAGTTTAGTTTAGGTTTCCTTCTGTAGTAACACTGGATCAATAAGAGATGATGTTTACTGGACCTCTAGGAAGAACAGTTTTGATTATCCAGTGTAAATAAATTTTATTTTTCAATATTTTCCATATTATAAACAAATTATATTTCACCTCAATTGAGGTCCATCTTGCGGGATAATTATGGTCTTAATTTGTCGTCCTGTTGTTTTAAACAAAGCATCTTCAACGCCTGACCACAAAACACCCAGACCAGTTTCATGTAAAGCTGACACTTCGAAGCGTTCCTCGTTTCTTCCACTCGCATCTGAGATAGATTCTCTGCAAAATAATAAAAAAACTCTGTAGTTTCATTCTAAAGAAGTATATTCATAGATATCTTATATACACTAGATAGTGCATCTAATTATTCTGCAATTCAAAAATTGAAGCCGTGATTGCAGTCTCAGGTCGTTCCCATGAAATGAGAAGATTCGTATGTTTTCTATTTCTTAAACAGGGAACTTAAACATTAAGTTAAACCTATTCCAAATACGTTTTTAAACCATTCAAACTATTTTAAACTGTAGGTAGTATTCTACAATAACTGCAGTGAACTGCCTCCGAACTGTCTTACCTGAGGTCGACTTTATTATGGACCTCGATAATATTTTCCATCAAATATTTAGGAAGTTTAAGCATCTTTAAAACATCCAAGACATGAACTTTCTGAGCTTCAAACTCCGGATGACTGCAATCACGAAGATGGATAAGCAAATCCTAGGAAACAAACGAAATCTGTGATGTTGGTTAGTGCATATACCGTATTCAGCTCTGCGGAAATGTATTTTTCTTTCTGCAAGAAAACCTGCATTTAAGGCTCAAATCATTTCACTTACAGAGTGTACTATATCTTCCAAAGTAGCAGAGAATGACTCGACTAGCTCGTGAGGCAAATCAGACACAAAGCCCACAGTGTCAATAAACAATGCAGTCATACCACTGGGCAGCTTACCGCGGTGAGCCGTTACATCAAGTGTTGCGAATAGCTTGTCTTCTGGACGCATTTCCGAGTCGTGAGTTAGAGCTTTGATCAGTGTTGTCTTGCCTAGAAACGAGGCAATCATCTTTATCCTGAGTTTCCTAATTTTTCACTAACTTACCTAACATAACAGTTCAATAAAACTGCTCTTCCTAGGACCCTGTTTACACGGTAGCGGACGAATTTGGGGCCGAGCTGAAATTCGTCCATTTTCGCTTGTTTACACGCGAATACGTCCGGTTAGACGCTCTCAAAGTCGTCCTGTTCCGCGAAAAAGGACGACTTTCAGCACAGTTCCAAATTTGTCCGGTACCATGTAACGGGGCCTAGAGGTCCAGTAAGATTTTTCAACCTGAATTTTACATGTGAATTTTTCATGTGAATTTTACATGTGAATTTTACATGTGAATTTTACATGTGAATTTTACATCGGAATTTTACATCGGAATTTTACATGTGAATTTTACATGTGAATTTTACTTCTGAATTTTACTTCTGAATTTTACTTCTGAATTTTACATCGGAATTTTACATCGGAATTTTACATCGGAATTTTACATCGAAATTTTACATCGGAATTTTACATGTGAATTTTAAACCTGATGATTAAACCTGATGATTAAACCTGATGATTAAACCTGATGATTAAACCTGATGATTAAACCTGATGATTGTCGTGATGATTTTATACTGGATAGCTCTAACGGTTCTCCCTAGAGGTACAGTAAGGTTCATCTCTTATTGATCCAGTGTTATTACAGGAGGAAACCCAAACTAAACTAACTTTATTTATACTGGATAGCTCTATCAGTTCTAAACTGTTCTTCCTAGAGGTCCAGTAAGGATCATCTTTTATTGATCCAGTGTTATTACAGGAGGAAACCTAACCTAAACTAACTTTATTAATACTGGATAGCTCTATCGGTTCTGAACTGTTCTTCCTAGAGGTCCAGTAAGCGTCAACTTTATTAAACCAAAATGGTTTGCACACCTACCAGCATTTGTGTATCCAACGACAGAGACAATGGGCACTTTTCTTTTAGCTCTGTCATGTCTAATTAAGTTGCGTTGTTTTCTAATGGCTTCCAATTTCTTTTTCAGTTTCTGTTGTCTCAACATCAACATCCGCCTGGCGGCCTCAAGGTGCGTCTCTCCCCCGCCCCCGATACTGTATGTGCCCCCTCGCTGTTGGTCATAACTTGTGTGGTCGTCGAAAACTAGGCGAGACCTAAATGTTTTACAAGACATACAAAAATTCAGCCCTTGGTATTGCCCATTAAGCTGCACAGTTTCCCCACTGACAAGTAAAATCATCTGGCATTAAACAAGTAAAAAAAAGTAAGGCTCACTGGGGCACATTGCGGCTCAACTAGAGACATTGTCAGATTTTTTGGTTATTAACCCATTAAGCTGCAGAGCTTCCCCACTGAAGAGTAAAATCGTCAGGCATTAGACAAGTAAAAAAAATAAGTAGGCCGCACTGGGGCGCATTGCGGGTTAACTTACATTGCACCCTAATGTGCCCTACTTTATCATTTTACTCTGTCTTACGCCAGACGATTTTATTTATTAAGGGAGAGTCTTGCACATTAATGGATTACAAAACTGCTACTTACCTAATATACCCCAACTCTGCAAGTTCCACTTGTACCTTGGCCTCGCTGCTGACGGCACGCTCTTTAAAAATCTGCACAACCAAACTGAAGCGATCGAACACTTTGACGTCCCATAATTCCTCGAGCTCAGCATGCTGTCTTCGTGTGAGACGACCGACGTCCAAAAACACAGCGCTTAGGGACCCGGCGACCTTTAACTTCTTAACGAGCTTTGTTAACTCCTCCAATTTGCCTTTGCCGAAGAAGTAACGAGAATCTGGTTTCCTAATCGGTTCTGTGCGTCCCTCAACGACGCTCCAACCGTTAATCGCCTCCACTAAACTCAACGCCTCCCCAAGCATGTGGTCGACAGTTTCCAAATGAAATCGATTTCTTCCCCATTTAAAATCTGGCTGGATTACCAAAACTTTATGCCCCTGTTCTAAGCCTGATTTTTCACGCAATTTTGCCAGAATCTCAACATGTTCCAAATCTTCGTCTAAATTATCATCTTCGCTGCTTATTTCGACTTTCTTAGCTCCTTTGGTATCCTTGCTTGTTTTCCTACCCCTAGAGTAGAATCGTTTGAGGGTTTTCGGCCAATAATTCTTCCTTGAATTCACAAACTCAAATTCCAAACCTCCCTCCCTAGCTTCAAAACTTGATCCATTCTGCAAAGGTTTGCATGAATAATGCCCTCTACGTACCTGAAAGCTAACTTCGGAACACAGGGAATTACATCTGGGCTTTCTTTTCGAAATAAATTGCCCAAAAGAAGTCGAAAAACCTTTAGCAAATCGCGAATATCTTGGAAAATACAAAATCTTCGCCGCCATTTTGTTTCTCGCCAAAAATTTGCGTTCGTTTAAATCCCGCGCTAAAAAAGTCGCCCCGAAAATCCTAATCCAGAATCCAAACTCAATCCTAATCTTAAATTAATCTTAGAAAATCATCAATAATTCATGAGGAAAATACAAAAGAAATGAATGTTTAATCAATGTTTGTGAATCGGATAAAGATTTGTCCTGATTTACATAAACTTCAGCTTCGATTTTCTTGGCCTAGACAATGTTTATTTTTAAAATTTCTTCGCCAATGAACTCATAAGATGGGTCGTTTGATTGGCTCAAGTTTGTATATCAGATAAAGATCGGCTGCTAATCTGGCATGAGCACGCTCATATATACACGAAAATTATGCATTTTTGTTTATGTATTTCTGCATGATGATTCGTTTCAAAACTTTAGAAAATAAAACCTCTATGAACCAGAAAAGATTTCTGCAAAAACATATTCAACTTGATTGATGAGCTGTTGGAAATTTTAATTTGTAGATTTGTGTTAACCCAGCTAGGCTAACTGACTCTTCGACAACCGGCCTCTGTACTATAACTGGGCAACACTGCCGAGAGTACAGTGCCGGCCGAGCCGTATCTACTCTTTAATACAGTATTCAATAATTCATGAGGAAAACACAAAGAAAAATCATAAACGTGTCGTATCTTTACATGTGATAGAGATTTCCCTTTATTTACATTAACTTTAACTTTGATTTTCTCGCCTTACACAACGTATTTTTTGAAAATTACTTCGCCAATGAACTTACTAGATCGTTCGTTTTTGAAGCAATTTAAAACATTCGCAGGGCGTGTTTTATCAAACCTAAAGATACCCGGCTTCGCCTCGTATCTTTACATCTGATAAAACACTGCTGCTCACGTTTTAAATAGTACATAAACCTAGTTGTAATATATATACTATAGTACTAACGTCAGTATACTACAACACAGCACGGCTACCAGCCGAGGTTATTTAAATGTTATATTCCATAAACTCATTGATTTTTTGTGTTCAATGGCTTAGTATACGAGGGACAAAATAACCGCCCAGATGCTGGCTTCAAATTCAACCAATATTCTTCATTTCGCTCTCTGAAATTTGAATTTTGATATTTTAATGACAAGTATCTTTGGACCAGGATTTACAAATGGAAAGAAAGGGGTGATCGCATTATAGGTGCTGGGGAAAAAGGCCAGAAATTTTTGGTCAAATGCAAAGAGGGGAGGGACACAGACAACCCCAGGATTAACCATGGGGGGACCACAGAAACTTTTTGAAAAATTCAAAAAATAGTATCCAGCAAAAACTTGTTTTGGAAACGTTGGAAATTTTGGTCACACGAAACTGTTGAAGCTTAACTTACACATGATTAAGTGTTGAAGAGAACAACGATTTAAAAGGTTTGTGTTTCCCGCTGCTTGCTGCTTTTGTACCTCGTTCTTTTTCAAGCTACAAAAATAAATGAAATATTGTGTAAAATAACAAATAACAATGTGATTGTGTTGGATATAGCAATGATAATGGTGATGATGATGATGATGGTGATGATGGTGATAATGATGATGATGATGATGGTGATAATGATGATGATGATGATGATGATGATGTTGGTAATATTTTAATGCACTATACCCACCTCTTCAGAGATTGCTCGAATGTGATACGCTTTAAAGCCGCAACAGCCACCAAAATATCGCACTCCCAAATCGTAGGCACTCCTTGTTAGTTTATGGACATCCCATCTTGTCAACTGTCGCGGTTCAAGGGCTTAATAAACAAACAGGGTTCGATTAAGGAAAAGTGTCTGATCACGAAACACAGCTGCAGTAGAAGGGTCAGATCCCAACCCAGCCTGCCAGCATTTCCATGTGGGAGAAAACCGGTCAAAACCTGTGACTTTCGGCAGAGTGTTGACTGACTCTTTTCAAATGAATAACTTGAGTCCGGCTCGAGTGTATAGATGGACTTCAATGATCTGGTTTTTGCACTTCACTTGGTAATATTAGAATGCTGTTTTTAGGGTTAGTAATCCAAGTGAGTATATATACATTTTAAGACCTGACCAGGAACGACTGCAAAAACTGCAGCACAATTGAGGTCCTTTACTAGGAATTGAACCTATGGCCCTGCAGTGATTCTGGTACAGCGCTCTAACCGACTCGATTGTAGGCTTGAGTGTGTCGAGCCTACAATCTCAGCGATGAAAAGCGCTTGCTCTGAGCATCGATCTGATCTTACCATATGGAAATTCAGGAAGTGTGAGATAACCATTTTTATTATCAGCGTCAGGACAGTGGAATCCCAGCGGTTGAAACATCAGATGAGCTTTGAGGCCTGCTTTCTCTAAACCTTCTTTCATCTTAGCGACAGCTTTTAATGATTCTGGCGGGTCGAACTTGCAGTTTACTCCAATCACATCTGCACCTGAAATGGTGGGAGTAACAGCGGTTGTTATGGTGATGGTTACTGTGATGATGACTGTGGTGATGATGGTAGTGATAATGACGATGTGATAGTGATAATGATGGTAATGATGATAATGATGGTTATGGTAATGATCATGATATATGACGATTATGGCGATGATGATTGTGGTAATGATGATGATTATGGTGAAGATGATGATTGTGGTGATGATGATCAAGTGGTGACGATTATGGTGATGCTGATTGTGGTGGTGATGATGATGATAATGATGATCATGATTGTGGTGATGATGATGATAACGGTGGTAATGATGGAGATGATAGAAGATGATCAGATTTCCTGAAGCACCGGCCTAATCAATGCAGAATGTTTTTCTCTTTGTCCTTGCTCTTTCTTCATCAATTTACATTGCAGTTGGACAACATATATTAGCTAGAATTTGTTATCAGATGTGCACAGTAAAAGTGCGCAATGCAAAACAGATGAATCACCTTAAGTGGACGAATACACGAGCATTTAATGTAGCTTTCTCGGCGTACGTTTTACGGTAAAGATGTCAAATACCGTTCTGACGCATTTACCTTACCAGCTTTGACCAAACGTACAGCACATTCATCAGTAGGGACTCCTTTATAATCACTCTGAGATGTGATACAGAGACTGGCCAACACAGATTTTCCTGTTTCTTTCAAAACCTCAACCGCCCACTCAGCTTCTTCGCAGATATGAAAATACTAAGAATGAACAAAAATGTGCTAGGGCGCTATTTGCTAAACTAACTTTCTTTATAACTAGATAGCTTTAACACAGCTACAATGCAGTGCCGTAGGAAGCTCTTTTTGATGGGGGGGGGGGGGGCGGAAAACGAAGGCCAAAGGCCCGGGGAAATTTTTAAATTTAGAGTCTCTGAAATGCCATTTGGACTTTGGGGAAGATTTGACAGAATTCTGTTGGTCAGAAAACAGCGTTTTAGTATGTCGAAATTTACAATTTGTTTACAATTTAGTAGTACTAAATGGGCAAAAGTGTATTTAATTAACTATATATTGGATAAGTTACAGGAAAGTGTGGGTAACATCTTCATTCTTTGCAGTTTGTCATGGATAATGTAACCGCTTAAAATTAATCAATTGTCAGTGTTTTAAAGGTATATTATTTAAATGATAAAGGTCTGTATGATTTTGAAAAAAGAATGATTATTAGCAAATTATTGCCGCCCCCTCCCCCCAAGTTCCTACGGCCCTGTTTTTACATTTTCTTTGGGACACCAAATATAAGCATCTACCCACCTCAGCAATTAAAAAATCAGAGTCATGTCTCACAAAGATTTCAGCTTGTTCTCTAAAATACTGTTGGACGTCTTGCTTTGAGCCTCCGTGTCCGTAAATAATTGTAGTGGACAATCCCCCAGCCCAGAGACAATTGTACTGTGCGGCAACTTTCTTCACGATTCGACATGCTGATTCGTTGACTTCATTTCGGCCTCCTGTTTGTGCCTAAACAAACAGTGACCCTCAGTAAAGACTAGTGTTACTACAGGAGGAAACCTAAACTAAAATAGCTCTATCAGTTCTAAACTGTTCTTCCTAGATGTCCAGTAAGAGTCGTCTCTTATTGATCCAGTGTTACTACAGGAGGAAACCTAAACTGAACTTTATTTATACAAAATAGCTCTATCAGTTTCAAACTGGTCTCCCTAGAGGTCCAGTAAGAATCATCTCTTATTGATCCAGTGTTACTACAGAAGGAAACCTAAACTAAACTAACTTTATTTATACTGGATAGCTCTATCAGTTCTAAACTGTTCTCCCTAGATGTCCAGTAAGAGTCGTCTCTTATTGATCCAGTGTTACTACAGGAGGAAACCTAAACTGAACTTTATTTATACAAAATAGCTCTATCAGTTTCAAACTGGTCTCCCTAGAGGTCCAGTAAGAATCATCTCTTATTGATCCAGTGTTACTACAGAAGGAAACCTAAACTAAACTAACTTTATTTATACTGGATAGCTCTATCAGTTCTAAACTGTTCTCCCTAGAGGTCTAGTAAGGAGCACGTGTTACCACAGGAGAAAACCAGAAACCCTCTTCACAGACGAGGTGAAATTATTCCCAGATACCTTACCCGATCCAAGTTATCATTTGCATAAAATGTAAATGCTTGAAGGATGTCAGATCCTGCCCTGGCAAACTCATGATGTAAACCTTCCACTTAAATATAAGAGTAAAAATGCACTCTTAGTGGTGATGATGATGATGATGATGATAATAATGATGGTGGTGATGATGGTGATGATGATAATGGTGATAATGATGATAATGGTGATGATGATAACGGTGATGATGATGATGGTGATGACGGTGATGATCAAACGGTGATGATGATGGTGGTGATGATGATGGTGATGATGATG